AAACTAAGAGCTATTTTTATGCTGTTTAAGTTTAAAGATTTTTTTTTTTTTTTTTTTTTTTTAAGCAAACATGTTAGCCTCTCTTCTTTTCCTTTTTTTTTTCTTTTTTTTTGAGACAAAGTCTCTCTCTCGTTGCCCAGGCTGGAGTGCAATGGCACGATCTCCACTCACTGCTGTAACCTTCGCCTTCCAGGTTCAAGCGATTCTCCTGCCTCAGCCTCCTGAGTCGCTGGGATTACAGCTGCCTGCCACCATGCCTGGCTAATTTTTGTATTTTTAGTAGACTCGAGGTTTCACTATGCTGGTCAGGGTGGTCTTGAACTCTTGACCTCAGGCCATCTGCCCGCCTCAGCCTCCCAAAGTGCTGGGATTACAGGTGTGAGCCACCACACCTGGCCGCGTTTTTCCGAGATGAAATCAACCTTCTCTTATCTTCTCTTCCTACCCTGTCTTTCTGCAGTACAAAGGGGATTGCATCACTAAAATGATACTAAGTAAATATTGTGGATTTTAGAGAACTTTGAAATATTTAATACTAAGAATAATGACACAAAGCAAGTTTAAGTATGAGAAATTGGACAAATATGGAAAAAATTAGTCATTTTTTTACACTTGATGAATGAATGTAATCATGGAATAAACAAGGCACTAGAAGGTAATAGAGGCCTAAATCCAATGTCCTGCCTCCCCCTAAATTCCAGGAGCATTATTTAAGATAAAAGTTCAATGCAGCATGTCTCTGAAGGCCATCTTCCAGGGGAAACATCTCTGGGCAAAAAGAAGTGGGTCCATGTAAGGGGGATTGTAGACATTGCAACAAAACAACTCAAGAGTCCAAGTAAATGGGGCACATCAATGAGCAATAGTTCCAAGGGCAACGGTGTAAGAAAAGGGAAGATGACTAAGCAAGGATTTCAGAGAGAACTGTAATTTTGAATGATAGGTAAAATACAAAGAAAAAAGGAAAAATTTAGCTGTGAGGTAAAATAGAACTCACCAACAGTTACGTTCTGCTAAGTAGAACATTGTTTCTCCCATGTATAATATTAAATCTTTCAACCTTATATCCCTGTATGATGTTGGCCAAAAACTTTTTATTATTTTAGAAGTAATTTTAATGTTAGCATTCTTATTTCATTATTCTTAGTTCACATGGGCATCAGTAGTGTAAAATATTAGTTAATGCTGGGAATTACAGTATTAACACCACATACAGATGTGAACACCACATATAGATCTTTTCATAGCTGAATTGGATTTCTTTCTTTCCAAACTTATTTATCATAGATTATTGGGATAATTCTAAATAAAAATGATTAAAACTATAATCTCTAAGCAAAACTAAAATTTTTTTCCTGCAATTTGATAGTTCTCTATCTTGATACCCATCTCCTGAGAGCCTTAAGGTATGCCTCCTTTGAGACATAATTAGCCATTCTCAGAAAGTGGAAGAAAAAAATTTTTTTTTTTTTAGAAGCTAAGAAACAGATGAGGATAACAATGAGAATCAGGTTCTAGGAGAGAAAAGAATTTGTTACCAGATGTTATCTCAAAGGACGCTCTAGTTTGAGATTAAATTGCATCTACCTGTTAGGTGTCCAGGAAAAACAGTATGATATGCTACAGAAGACCCTGCATCGGGCAGGGGTGATTAATTCTTTTAACACATGACTACTGACTTGCCAATTGGTTGAGGGTACATGGCTAAACCTCTTAGTCTAAATCCTTGTATAAAAAGAGGATAAGATTTCATTTATATTCAACAGTTATATGCAGTAGTTTATTTTAAAAATACAGCATCATCTTCTCTGGGACCCTTAAAATATACTTTAATTTCATTTGAACATTGTGTTGTATTTGTGACACTCTATCTTGTAATTATGGTAAACTCAATCACTTATAATGAACTATATAATTCATTAATCCTCATGATTCAGTAAAATACGTTGGATATTTCTTGGTGCCTGGGACATAGAACATATTTAAGAAACTTTAGCTTTCTTTCTCTTTTCACATTTTCAAAGAACCAACATTGAAAAACACAACAGGAGGTGTATGTTCTTGTAGACCAAAGACACAAGGTTAACCCCTCTAACATTTGTCTTATTTTGTCAGAAATGTCAGCAATGTTAAGTTATACCCATGTATATGTTCTATTCCATGTGCATATCCATCCACTCTGCATTGAGAAAGTAGCTTTTGAGACCCCACCATTGCATTCTCATAGATGTAGAATTGAAAACAATAACCCGAATAAATTAAATTAGAAGATAATCCCTGTGTTTCAATTGAACAGGAAAAAGTATCTAGCTAACATACACCTGATTAACTTAAGTCTACGGATTAAATCAATTTTCCTAATAAAATTCTAGTATTTACATGATATTTTCAGTAGGAAATATGTTAAATGATAATTCATTCATTTCACTATCAGGACACAGGATCTACTCTTTATTTCTACATAGTATAAAAATTGAGGGGGAAAAATTAGACTGCTTGAAGAAGGATGCCCAGTGTTCACGCCAGAATAAGGATTAAAAATCAGAGTGTTTTTAGTGTTGTTAATAGTAACGATACCAACAATAATTCATTGGATACCAAGAGAGCACTGGTTTCTAGGCAGGCTCGCCTGCCAGGACTGCTGCATCATGTTTGCAAACAAAGATTTTGACTTCTAAATTCACTTCAAGAGATTTATCCACATGGCTTTTAAAAACTCACATCACAGGGCCCAAAAAGTTTGCAGGCAAAATTTCCACTTTCAAAACCAGGCATATGCAGTTTTTTTATACAGGGAAAGACAGTTTCCTTTCTGATAAAACAGTCCTGGAAAAAGTACCTGCAATATTCATTTAAAAACCCTTCTAAGACAAAGCGCCTGATTATTGTATGTCCTTTGTCCAACGAGCATTTTCAGTATGATCTCTTAAAATATGGTCTACATTTTCTTTAACAAAGGTCATGTTCGTTGTGCATTTCTAACATGACAGACTGCAGTCTGTGCCCTTCTTTACTGAAAATGAAAGCTATACCAACCAGGCCTGTCACAAGTGCCTCAACAAAAGAGCCAAACAAAACCCAAGTCCCGGGAAGGCTGACAAAGGCAATGAGGACAGCCGGTTAGATTCTAAGAGTGTTTAACCGCCATTGATTTCTTTGCCCTGCACCTCCTTCCTATACTTTCAAATAGTGCAAGCAAATACTATGAATTTTCTGGCTGTAGCTTTCTCTAAGTGTTTGTGGAAAGAGTACTATCTTGCCATTATGTTTGTTTAAGTGGCAAGACTGTGAATGTCTTTAGAACATTATAAAGCTCAAATTTTAAAAAAAATATCAGAGAGTAGAGTCAGAGCATTGTTGGCTTACTCAGACTTAGGTTCTGCTTCTTTCTAAGAACCTGGGAAATGTTCACTATAATATGATTATTTTTCACTTCTTTTCTACTCCTCTCAGGCACCAAATGGTCTCCCAGCTGTGGGCAGTTTTGTGTCAGCGTCCAGCATGGCTCCTTACCCTACCCCGGCCCAAGTGTCGCCTTACATGACCTACAGCGCTGCTCCTTCTGGTTACGTTGCTGGACATGGGTGGCAACATGCTGGCAGCACCCCACTGTCTCCCCACAACTGTGACATTCCCGCATCGCTGGCATTCAAGGGAATGCAGGCAGCCAGAGAGGGTAGTCATTCTGTCACGGCTTCCGCACTCTGATGGGAAATTCCGTCTCCAGCAGCTTCACCCGGGTCTCCCCATCTCAGCACCTCCCCCGATTCCCAGGCCTCACGTCTCACCCCTCCTGCCCTCCAACCCTCCTGTCTTGAAAGCTGGCTGTACGGACTCAGATCCTTTGTGCTGATGACACTTACATATTTCTTGCCATAACTTTTCTCTTGCAGAAAAGCTGACATGACTTTAGGATTTAAAAACAAGAGCAACAATAAGCATTGAATAAGGCATTTGTGTTGCCTATATACAGTCTTAACACAGCGAAGAGACGTACACCCCTCAAAGGGTTTAAGGAACTTTTAAAACTAGTCTTTGGTAAAACCACACGTGTGTATATTTATTCTAAATCAACCTGAACTTTTGAAATGTGCAATTGTTGAGATTTTGCAAAATCAATAAAGGAAAATACTTATAGAAAAAAATTATTCTACACCCTCTAATCAAATATGGTAACCAAGTAAGCTTTAATTCATCATTAGGAAACCAATCAATAATTGACTTGTTTGAGTGATCCTTTGTTTATCTTTAAGACATGACTTATTTTGTTGAAAAATATGTGTAGAACCCAAGCAATATCTGAATCTAGCTCTTCCTGGTTTTGACTTGGTTCCAAATATAATAATGTTTATATTTTCTATTAGTTTGTAAATATGGACTCTGGAATGTGCATTTGTATCTTCATTCCCTAAGATATTCCCCTCCTCCTAGCCCCATCCCCTCTCTTTTTTTCTTTCTTTTTTGCAAAGGTGACTTTTTGGAAAGTCTTTGTCTCTATTTGGTGGTGGGCTGCTCGGGCTCCTGGACCTGGATTTGTCCCCAAATTTTGTGTATGCAGTGAAGGCTTCAACGTCTCATGAAGGACACTTTCTTTCTACAGCAGAGGACACAAAAACAGATAAAACAAGCCAGTCTTCCATTTTGTACCTAATCAAACAACACACATGCTAAGCATATAAAGACAAGAGGGTGGAAAATATCTGAGCAAGAAGGCTCTAAAGGAAGTCACTTAGAAACTGAAGTTTAATGTGAAATGTTTTGCAAAGACACTTAAAATGAACTTTGTGTAAAGAAAACCACTGTGAAACTAAATTGTACTGTTATTGTTGGCTTACCTGTGTGTTCAGCAATCTCAGCCCAAAATTATGTTGTAATTTAAAGAAAATGGAAAATTCTGCTCTAATGAATGTAACAATGGCTTGCTGTGAAGTTTACATTGTTGTACAGAAGCATGTTTCACATGTAGGTAAACTGGTGGTGGTACTAGAAATACAATGCTATTTAATTTTAACAAATTCCCTTTATTCATTTCTGAAATTACAGGACACAGTTTAACTCATAAACCTTTCGAGACCAATTTATTTTTCACTTTAATGTTAATAACAGCTGTGGGGTATATGTGTGTGTGAGCATGTGTGTATGTGTTGAATTTTAAAACAATTGATTTTCTGCGGCAAAATTCTACAGTTTTTAATCACTTCTGTTTAGTAAGTTCTTCCTGATTGGCAGTATAGGCTTAAAAATATGTTTTTAGGACATTGGTACAGTTCAACTGTTGGAAAATTAATATATTGAGGGTGTTTTGGTAATAATTCTGTGCAATAACTAAAAGAGCACCTCACTGGATATGGATGTTGAAGATGGATTCCCTAGGTGATTTTAATTTCTTCCTGTCTGTGCTGTGCACAGTCTACATGGCAATGCGGTTCCACCACGTTGGTTTCATGGGTTCATTTAAAACTCAGATGGCTAGATTAACTAGGTTTTCAAATCACTAGGATGTAAACAGTAAGCAGATTTCTGACACACAAGTTTTGTTAGAATGACTGCTTTTTTCAAACAGCAGATATCTTATAGAGAGCTTTGAACTGCATTTATTTCTAAAGCAACCGAAATTCAGTGCTACAAACAGAGGATTATAACTTCAGGAGAAGAATAAGCAGAAGGAGCAGATGAACACTCAGGGCCGTAGTCTTCCTTTGATCTTGTAAAACTCCCATTGACATCTGAAGTTCCCAGTCTGGTGAGAAAATAGACTATAAACTGAATGGAACAAAGATCCAATCCAATATTTTGGTGGAGACTTTAAAACCATACCATACAGGGACTCTCCTGTTGTCTGAAAAACTGACATAAGGTATAGAACTATTCTTTATCACATGTTTTTAGGTGGCTGTGAGGGGGCTTTAAAAAATATTAATTGCTTATGTGGAAATGCAAATAATGTTATTTTCTTTATCTAAATTAAGAAATTTCTTGTTGTGCTATTTATATATTTTTTCTGGTTCTTGTATTTTAAAAAATCTAATATTAATGGTATTGAAGTTTTGTTTTCTCCCCCTAAGTCTTAACAGTGAATTCACATGGAGTAATTTTTAAAAGACAACAGATACAATTTGCTATTCAAAGCAAATTATGATTTAAAGCCACTTTTTAAAATATGAGAAGGAAAATAGGATGGATTAAAGGGCTTTCAAAGATTATTATTATTGGTTAATGTTGACATATTTCCTCTATCTCATAGACGGTAAAAGTGTTGCTTAACTGGCAAATGTACTCTTCAGAAATACTTTTCTATCTTATCCACATGGAGAGGTTAAAGGTTCAATTTCATGGGCTCTATACAGGCAGTACTCTCATAGGATGCAAAACAATTACCTGCAAGGACAGAATGCAGTTGTGCAACAGAGACACATTCTTATTTCTCTTTTTAAAACATTTTTATTTTGTTTTTTAATGACCCTCTTATTGAATATTGGACTGAAAAATAAATTTTAAAAACACGTTGGAAAGGATGTACAACAGAAGGCTATGTATGTATATACAGTATGTCAGAAGCCTTTTATTTTTATACTTCAAATGCTCTAAATTAATAAAAAGTAATAATTACTATGTTATCTTTTAATTTTTATTTTCAAAATGCTTTCTTGAAATAGTCCATAGTAGTAATAGCCCTTAGTAGTAATTTAGGACAGGTGTTGTGGGGACTTTCAGGTATTCTGGTTGACTTTAACTACTGAATCAGCATCATTTCAGGATGCAGATATAAAATCAAGTTTGGTTACATCAAGACCAAGGAGATATTTTTGGTGGTACATGTTGGTATAGTAATCCTTGGAAATGCTAAGTGTATTTCTTTTTTGGAAACTTTCCCTTCATCATACATATTTTAGTACTGCAGACAGCTGACTTCACACCTGAAGCTGTCATTTAAACCTAATATCCTGGAAATGCAGTTCTGTTCTATACATTATTACTTAAAATGGCACAGGTAAGCAAGCTGAACAAACGTATTTGGATGCAAATACTGATGGCACAAATGGGTCCAAGGAGTGCTTCCAATTTGTGATTTAACATGAAAATACCTCGTCAACAAAACTCATCTTCAAAGAGAATGACGTGAAGGAAAGTAGTTTAAATTTATTTCATGTTTTCTACTTGTTAGAAGAGATTTTGGATACCATGATTTAAAAATACATGCTTAAACAACAGTGTTTTAACATTCTGTTTTAAACAGTGTTTTAAAATACCTGTTTATTATCTTACAACACTGTGAGATATATAGGAAAATAGAGCTGAGATGTGCATACTAATGAAAACCAACAGATTTTAACGTAGTAATTATAAAGGTCATTTTAGTGCATTTTAAAAACATTTTTCATGTGCTCTTTAAATATTGTTTATTGAATAATTTAATTCATTATAAAAACTGTTTAAATTTGGCTTAACTTTTTTTTAACCCAGTCTTTCTTTGAACAATTTCATTTATTTTCAATAGTTTAAACATTTATAGACCTCTTAGGAAAAATACTGATTAATGCAATGAATTTTTGTTGTGAAGCAGTGAAGAGGAACTTAGGAAACAAAGTTTATATTTCTTTTATGAAATATATGATTTCTATGCTATTTTTCTATATTCCGTTTAAATACCTCATTGTTCCATATTATTTTTTCTTCTCATAGTTTTATTTATATGGCCAAAACTATCAAGTAGCCTAAAGACAATTTTTTAAGTATTAAAATGGATTTTGTTCTTAAATAGTTTTCTCCTTCATAATTATACACCTGGCTGATCGATAGTCTCTCTTCTTCATGGTGCTGCATAGCAAATATCCACTATCTCAAGGGGGAAAAACGCTTCCTAGGCAATCACCAGTTCTCCTGAAGCCATGAATAGGTGTATTCATAAACCAGCAGCATCACTGCACCACCTAGAAAAGAAAAGAGCTGTTTTTTATTGCAAATGCTCTGGAGTAGCACTGGCTTTCCCACTGGGTTTCTGGATCCATGTGTCCTACACAGCCTGTTGGGCAGGGGCTGTTCAAAATCAACAGTTCTGGAGCTTCAATACAAAGATATAAACTGTGGAAAATTCTCAGGATAAAATCAAGACCATCTTGAGTCTCCAAATACATTTTTTCCCCATGAGTTTTTGCAACTTTCATCATTTCTCATCAGATTCTTTTTCAGGCACTTTTAATTTTTAAAAGTAAATAAATATAGACATATTTAGCCATGTAAGGGCATGTGGCTTTCCTGCAAACAGAAACCTTCAGATTCTTCATGTGTAGGCAAAGGATTTATCTTTTTCAGTCCATAATTAGCAGTTTTAATTGCATTCGAGAAGGAAATCTCTAAGATGGTGCTTGATGGATGAGTCTAGTTTTCTCTCATAGCTTTCCAACTGTATTGCAATGTGAAAATTAGATTCTGAATATTTAAAAAATCTGTATTGCAAAACCTAACAAAAGGAGTTTGAAAGCTAACCTTCATTCCTTTTATCTGCTTTGGTTGTATATGAATTTGAACTTGAAAATTTGGTAGTGGGGTTTGGATGCCATGAGACCACCATTTGTCTTGGAAAATAGTTACATAACTGACTGGGAAGAGACATACTCTGTGGTATGTCAACAGGAATATGATACAGAAAAACAGGCACTGAGGCTGCTGAATACCTAGCCACTGGGAGAAGCATTTGTATGTGGATCATTTTGTGTTCTATTTGATGCAGTAAATAGCATGTGTCCTATGCTCTTCAGGATAATCTCTTTTCATCCTTTTATGTCTAACTCTGTGAAAACCATTACAAAATCAAAATTTTGACAAATATCCTGAACCCAACTTAGAGAAGACTTGGCTGCATGAATAGAAGATTGACTTCTGATGGAAAGAAACAGAACTTGATTTGGGTCTTAGTTATTTTGAACATATTGCCACATACTTTTTTTCTTTAATCTATAGGCTGCATATGTTTGTGTAACCATATACCAAAGATAATTATCTGCCTGTAATTTTCATTTTTAACCCATGAAGATACTCTATTAGTCCTCAGCTGCCTAGGCCTCTTGGAACTCTGGCAAAGAGAAAGAGCTATACTACGGAGGGTCATTACTATGTAGCTAATTGCTGCATTTACTCTTATTAACCATTCACAATGTAAGACAAGAATAGGCAGAGTTGGGTTAATTTTTGGCCTAGTAATATTTGAAGTTTAAATCACAGACTTCAAGATTCTTTCATGGGAGGTACCTGATTGTTAGCCACATTGAGCTGCTAAGGCTATGATAAAAATGCTGGATGCTTCTCCAGAACAAAGAACAAAAATTCCAGGCTCACCTTTCTTTTATTTCTTGCTGTATCTCTATCTGTCTCTCTCATTCTCTAAAGAAAAATTTGTACCATTCATTCAAAAGTCTTAACCTTTAACTCAGTGGTACCTTTCTCTCTAGGTTTCTTTGCTTTGAAGTTGCGGGGATGCACACACTTGGAATGAAGTGGAGGGCAGGCCTGTGAGTGGTTTCTAGTTATCGCAGTTTGGTTTAGCCTGGACAGTTAGTCCCTAAGAACACTTTTCTTTGAGTCTAACACCAAAGCAACTCAGGACCCCTCATGCAAAACATTTAAAAAGCCAACCAAACATTTGCAAGCCTCTAACAAAACTTGGGGTCAGATTATTTAAGAGTTTTCGATGGAGGTTCCAGTCAATTACCATTTTAGCTAACCTCTCCCTTGTCACCACTCTTTCTAGGCCCATCCCTTTCTGAGAAAGTTGGTTTAGGGCTGGCGCTGTGATTTCCTCTAATATTAGGTCTACTAGCAGGCTTTTACTCTGTGGTGAAGGAAAAACACTACATACTGGCAGAGATACACAAAATTCCCTACAATTCTGTTACTGGGTTAGCTTTTACACATGGGCCAATGACTAACAGAAGGTAGGTCTGAATCTCAAATATGAAGCAAAATCTATGTGGAAAGGCCTAGAAAGATTGGGAGAGATGGGTTGGGAACTGTGGAAGTGTTTCCTAAGTATATGAAATTGTGAACTGTTCACCAGCTTCAATGTACAGACTGTTGTTTTCTATCTTAGGTTAATAGAAATGTTGGTGCATTGGGCTGAGATCTAAAGGTGAACGTGCATGTGTGTTCATGTAGTAGGGTAGGAGGACAGTTTTGTTAAAAGGGAGTAACCACAGAGGGAGAGAGGGGAGGAGTAGGAGAAGGCTCTAGGAAATATCACCAGTACGTATAAGTAGGTGAGCGTAGCCTGATAAAAAAAATTTATGTGGTCTAGAGCATACTTTTGTATTTATTCACAAGGTTGCTTATAACCCAAGACTATATGCCCTGGCAGTTGAGTCGTCTGCAGCAGTTATTTTCTTATCTATTTACATAGAGGCAGCCGATTCTCCCTGTGGGAATGGCAGCCGGTTTTGTGTGGGCTGGTATCCTGAAGCAAGGGCCTGAGCCAGGAGCCGCCAGCGTCATGCTGACAAAGCCCAGGAGAGGTAAGCGGCTAGTTACAGAGTCACCACTCCCCAGAGGTGACTGTGAAGACGAGTGGCTTTTGCTGTTCACGGAGGCAAGCCGTCCTCCTTTTCTCTTTTTGAAATGAAGTTGAGGCAGGAGCAAGAATGAATTAGGAGCATGAGGAAACTGTTTGGGCTGGTCCCTCACTCACTGCAAGTCCTCCCCTTCAGCCAGACGCCACTGCACACACCTTGGTTTTCACTCCAACTCCTGTTGCCTGTGGCTTCTTCCTGTTGACTTAAGCTGGGCTTTGGCTGCTGTCAGCCTCCAGCAAGGACGTAAATAGTACTTAACAAACAAAGGTAGATCATTTCTAATGGATGTCTTCAGTATCTCAAATACTCATAGAGAGCTTTATATTCTCAAGGTTTCTGTCTTACAAAGTGGCAAATCTTTATTGTGTTGCTGCTGGACACAACTAACAAAAAAGGAGACACTAGAGCAATAAAGAAGGAAGGATATAAATAATCAAAATATCATTACCTGGTCCAAGTCTCATAATTTTGGGAAGCAGGCCTTTGTACAAAGCTAAAATCCTGTAATGGGAAGGGAAAGAGAAGCATTCTTATTCTGAAAATAAATGGAGTTGTACCTTGGCTTTATTGAGATGGGGGTCCAGCATTTAAAAAAATAAATTACTGGAATTACACACACCTCAAAGCAGACAGCATTTTAGTATTCTCTGCAGCAAACTGGATGTGGGGAAAGAGTTAATCAATTCTTTATTACCCAACTATGCAGGTCTTGTCCAATTAGAAACATGACTTTCATCAGCGAGATGGTTTTACTTTCAAGACAGCTGTGTATATGGACAGAATAACTTTTGTAATTGAATTTAAAAGACCACAAACTCAGTCTCTATATTAGGAAATATGATGCAGTTTAGATCAAAATAATAAAGTATTACTTGTTTACTTGAGAAAAAGAGGGGTAAAGAAACAAAAAGTTTTTTTAAAAATCAGAAAAATTCACATACTTAAAATTTTTTAAAGTATTTTGACAGAACTGTATCATTCTCCCAGGAGAATATAATTAGGTGGCACTTTGATGAGATTTACAGTCAGAAGACAATTGTTCTCCTGCCTATGTATTAATAGGACAAATAACATACAATACTATATTATGCAAAAAGTGAAAAGTTCACCTTGGCATTCTAAGGCAAATACGCAGCATATTGTCACTTGATGGTGTAAGCACATGTTAACAACATCTCGTTATTGTGTTGTCTTGCAAAGTTTGTCATACATATTCACAGAATTTCTTAGACACAAACTCCACTTAGGAGGGCTTACTGGTTCTCATCTAAATGGAAGGACAATTTGGTTTTAACAATACATGAGCCTTGCACATTTATTAAAATAAGAATGTGTTATGTTACCCTTCTTCCTGATAGACTGTTGCCATTGTTTTGAAACAGGTTCTGTACTTGATCTCTCCAGGAACTGGTTGAGGCCCTTGAATCCTACTTTTGGCAACATCAAAAGGGATGTTAATGACTGAGGCTATTGTCCCCGAGAGAAGACCAATCCCAAATTTTCTCAAAAACTCCAAGGTTGGATCCTAGAAGAAAAGAACAATAATATAACAGAAAGGGAAGCGGAAGCCCCTGAATCAGTTAAACACTATAAAGCAATATGTATGTAAGCAGAGCATTGCACTCCCGGCACCCTCCTGTTATTCCAGCGGAACACATTAGGATTTCCTAGGCTGGAACTTGTTTTCTTGACAATCCCATTGGCTATGTTTTTACACATGGTCTAAATTGCTGAAGTACACATTTCCTCACACAGGATTTATAAACACAGTTCATAAAGAAAGACTGGTATGGCATATGGGGATGATTTGTATAATTGGGCTTCACAATGTACTTAGTATTACTGTATCAAAACAGGAGAAATCCAAGCACACTATTAGCTAATTGGCCAGAATATTTTACAAATGACAGCAACTTCCACCATGAAGCCTACTAAAATGCTCATTTGTGTGTGGACCCCCAAATGTTAAATTAAATCAAGGCTACTCTCGGTCTGCTGCTATTCCCCGCCAGGTTTTTTGCATTTATTTTCACGTGTAGCTGATCCACTGTACTGAGAAGTGCTAGCTTCCTGTTATTAACAAACCAACTTGGGGTGGCTGCAAAACAGCCTGTGACATTCTGTGCATTATAAACAGTAGTAAGTCACTGGACTAATTGGCTGAAGAATTTACAATCCATTGTTTCGGAATCTTGTTCTTCCTCCATGGCAAAGGAAGAAAAGGAGAAAGAGAGACAGAGTGAGAGTGAGTAAAAGAGAGAGAAATATTTCTTCTTTCCGTTTGAATTCAGGCCCTTCAAGTTGGTTTGATTTGATTTTCCACCTCTCCCTGCCCTGCTTTCTGACATCAAAGTATTTAATTAGGTCTTATGTGGGAGTCACTCTCCTTTGGCCTATTTTTGTGCCCTGTGAACTCACATTATGCTTTGTTATAATGAATTTGCTGGGAAGTTCTCATTATGTTGCCAACCTCAGTTCTGTGTTTTCAGTTCTCCGTTCTCTGAAGAGGGGTCATATCACATACTAGAAGCTGCTGACTCGGACCCCCTGTCCTATCTTTTCCCTGCCCTCTCTTTTGATCAATATTTCAGAGGGACCATCACAGAGGAATAATATAGGGTTGTGCTACAACACTATTTTATCCAGAGGGGAAGCATACCCTGCTTAAGTTAAACAAGAAAATTCAGGTCTGAGCATTACATGCTTCCAGCTGCTAAGAAAGAAGAAACTTCTAAGGGCTCTGAAATTTTCAACTGAACCAAGAGCGTTACCATCACAGAAACTCCTATGTGGCTAAATATAAAAAGCAAGGGGTTTGGTAATAATTCCTGGATCTGGGCCATACAGGTGCCGGGGAGGTTTAAAGGGATTTGAAAACCAACAGGGTGTTTCAACAGGAAAAACAATGCAGTGATTGCAGTATGAGTGAGGTGTGTTTAAATAATTCCCTCTCCCTCCATTTTTTCTCTTTTACAAGGAGAGAAAAATGCCTTTATGTTACTCCTCTCCATTATGGCACAGAAGCAGAACTGTAGCTCAGGAGGACAGAGTGAATTCTAGACCAGCTCTGGTCATCTGACCTCTGATGAGTCACTGAATCACCCAGAGCCCAGTGTATATAAGGGAAGTTTTTAATACCTACCTTACCTCTAAATTCTATCATTTTTTTTCTGAGAAATAAAAACAATAATATAAGTAAAAGTGTTATAAGTGGTACACAAGCCTGGCAGAAAATGAATAGTATTATTATGTAGCCTGTTTTCTAAAGATGCAAAACAACCTGTGAAAAGATGCTTTCTTGATGTCCCTGTGACATTGCCAAGCTCGCTTTCTTTTTCAATTAAAGACAAGAATGGAAATGATGATTTGTATACACGTCATCCTTCTGTGAAGTTTGGGAGACCTGACTGATGTGTTTGCTGAGGATCAGAGTTGGGGATGGGAGGTGAAAAGAGGACTCAATGATGGTCATTGTGCTTGAGATATGGCATTGGAGACCAAAAGCTAAGGTCTCTAGGCCATCATATCATAGTGTTCACTAGCAGGAGTAAGTGTCCACCTTTGTTTTTTAATTAATTAATTAATTTATTTATTTATTTGAGACGGAGTCTCACTCTGTTGCCCAGGCTGGAGTGCAGTGGCATGATCTCGGCTCACAGCAACCTCCACCTCCTGGGTTCAGGTGATTTTCCTGCCTCAGCCTCTTAAGTAGCTGGGATTACAGGCATGTGCCACCATGCCCAGCTAATTTTTTGTATTTTCAGTAGAGGTGGGATTTCACCATGTTGGCCAGGCTGGTCTCGAACTCCTGACCTCAGATGATCTGCCTGCCTTGGCCTCCCAAAGTGTTAGGATTACAGGTGTGAGCCACCATGCCTGGCCCAACTTTACTTTTTATACATTTCCCAGCACAACAATAAGATCCCACAGTGGTTCCACAATCTAGCTGTGCTTCAGAATCATCTGGCAACTTTATAAAATACAGACTCCTGGGTCCCACCGCAGACCCATCTCGGGGGTCCCATAGCAGAATCTCATGGGAAGGTGCCTGCAAGTTGTTTAAAAAGCTCTCCAGGGCTCCTGAGGCTGCCAGGCTAAGAACTCAAGACCAGGAATCAGTGATTTTGATGTTCCACACAGGCAAAGCAGATGGTCAGTTGATACCCCTGTGGGCATCCTAGGGAGGAAAAGAATTTGCTTGGGATGGCTATCTCTGACCACTGGCTTCTGGGCTTGTACTCAGTATCTTCCTTGATCTCAGAGTCTGCTTGAATCCAGTGTCCCAGGCTGGGTCTGCGTGTGCAAGGACAGCCCTCTCAGCTCACCTCTGCTTTCTTTGCCACGTGCCGCCAGCAATCTTCGAATGAATGCAGCATCTCGGACGCCTCTCCCTTTCATCCTCTCCTGGTCACTGCCACCTATCTGGCTTTAGTTCAAGTTCCTGCTACCTTCACCAGGTTTTGCTTCCTTCCTGCCTTCTAGGATCTATTCTTCACAGCGACATCAGGGTTCTTTTTTTAGAAAAACATCTGCTTCTGGTATCTCCCTACTCAAAGACCCTCAATACTTCCTGGATGCACAGAGAATAAAGACTTTCCCAACTCTATGCTTTTGTCTTTATTAAAGAAACCTCACTGGGCTATTGGTTTCTTTCCCACAATATGCTTCCAACTTATCTTTCTAGTTTCCACTTCTGCACTCCTCCCCTGAATCCATACTATGGTCACACCGGTTAATTCATAATTACTCAAATATACCAAGCACTTTCCCAACTCTATGCTTTTCTTCAAACGACTCCTGCAGCCTAGGATGTCTTTCTCCATCATATTCACCAATTGCAATCTCACTGCCCTTTAAGGTCCTGCTTAAATCCTACTCACCCAAGAAGTTTACAGATCCCCTGTAAGAATTGATGTATCCTCTCCTCTACTCTCAAGATACTGCCTGAACCACGGTCCTCACCTTTGCTATGGCCCACTTAGTGTTTAGTATATTTTTGCATGTATCTGTCTTCCCTGCAGGGCTGTGGGTCTGTATAGCATAGAAGCATGTGTTACTTCTCTTTGTGTCATCTGTTTTGCAGAGTAAACAGTAGGTGCTAAATAAATGTTTGCTGACTGGTCTATCAATGTTTATACTTAATTATTATTTGTAGAAACTATGAGAATCAGGTTTAATATAAAATCATTTTTTTCTCAAGACTCAGTGTCTTCCAGGTTAAATCTTTATGACAACATTGTATTTCTTTCTCTCAGGAGGTATTAACATGGGGGCGCAACAAGGTATTGGGCATTTTGAAAGTGGAGCATTTCAGAGTGGATAAATTGAGACTTTCAGGTCACAGAGCTAGACCTGGGGTTGCCAGGCTCTGTTGCTCAGCAATCACAGAGAACTGCATGGTATGGCAGGCTGTGGCCAGATTTTAGGGGTAAAAAGAAAGCAATTGTACTCTCTGGGCTCTTTGGTCTTACATTTCCTGATGTTTTCCCTAGTAGGAAGAGGCATCCACTTGCCTCTAAAAGAATGAGGATTCTTGGCCAGGCAGAGAGGCTCATGCCTGTAATCCAAGCACCTTGGTAGGCCGAGTAGGGCAGATCACGAGGTCAGGAGTTTGAGACCAGCCTGGCCAACATGGTGAAACCCCGCCTCTACTAAAGGTACAAAAAATTAGTCAGGTGTGGTGGCGTGCATCTGTAATCCCAGCACTTTGGGAGGCTGAGGAGGGCAGATCACGAGATCAGAAGTTTGAGGCCAGCCTGGCCAACATGTTAAAATGCTGTCTCTACTAAAGATACAAAAAATTAGCCAGGCGTGGTGGGGCGCACCTGTAATCCCAACTACTCGGGAGGCTACAGCAGGAGAATCGCTTGAAGCCAGGAGGTGGAGGTTGCAGTAAGCTGAGATAGTGCCATTGTACTCCAGCCTGGGTGACAGGGCAAGACTCCATATCAAAAAAAAAAAAAAAAAAAAAAAAGGGTGGGGGTGGGGGAAGGTTCTTGTAACAGGTATAGCAGGACTACAAAGAGAGAAAAAGGTAATGGTTTAGTGGTTTTCATTTCAAATTAGAATCTTGATCATCAAAATGGAAACTGTGGAGGAAAGGCATAGTCTTGAAGAAGATTGGGAGCAGGAAATGAAGTGTGTGAAGTCCACATGTAGAGAAGGTACCAGGAGGCCTACTAGTGGCTATGACCAGAGAGCAACCATGCAGAAGCCATCCAACACATTGGACTCCTCCTTGGCATTCTGGTGAGTACTGTGTGGCCAGGGATGAGCACCTCCCTTGGAAGTTGCTCTTGTGGCACCTGGAGGAGAGGGTCTTCATAGCTGCTGCCAAATCAGGTTCAGGAATGAAGCAGAGAGGGACTCCCTAGAGCTGATGCTGCTGAGCTCATCCAAACTGCCCTGGTGGACAACTTCCATGTCAGCAGCACAAGACACTAATAAGCCTGGGGACAGCACAATCAATGGTGTGGAAGAGAAAGTTCCAACCCTGGTCCTTGGGTGGGGCTGGGTCATTATTTG